GCTGCAGTATTTCACTTTCATTTTATGATAGCACTTTCTGCCTTGATCAGTGTAATCAACTTTGATTTTTATAAAAAGCAACTCCCATATCTCTGTGGTTTAACCCATTCATACTGGTAATATGAGTATACCTGTGTCAGTAGCGCTCCTGGGCAACTCTGAGAACTAGTTTTTTTCTAGTCTTCTGTCTGCTCTGTTTTTAGGGTCTTGCGGTTCTGGCGATAGGTAGGAAAGTGTTAGAATGAGAATGAGAGTGAAAAAGTTCACATGAACTATTTTAAAGTCAAAACTGGAAATGGTATGGCTCCCTGCTGAGCACACTTGTTTGGCCACAAGTCAGTGACATTGTCTCACCTAAATGCGGTGAAGATGCTGAGAGGCAGACATGTAATTTTGCTATTTGTTTAAGAAGATAACTGTATGTTGGGAATATATGAAGTCTGTACTACATAAAGTATAATAGAGGAATTAATTATTATGATTATATTTAATACGAAAAGCAGTGGAAACTTTAGTTCAAGCAAAAGTTATAGAATAAATTTGGGTCATTAGCAAAAGAAGTATTGGAAAGAAGAAATTACCTCTTGCACCAGGAAATTCAGATACTAGGTCTGACAATGCATATTTATTTTCTTTTCAGACTGGAGGAAGGAATTTTTCCAGGCTGGTGAGTCATTCCCTGATGACCTAAGAGGGACTCGACTCCTTATTCCCAGGATCAGTCTCAGGATTTGTTGGAAGAGGGCTGATGAAAGCCTCCACATGGGAATATATTCCCATCCCGCAAGCTCAAAGATATCTCAGGCTTGTATCTTTGCTTCCAGAATCTCTCTTTTTTAGAGATTGAAAGGGTTATTGTCTTTGCAGTGGACGTTACTCTGGATCCAGTCACAGCTCATCCTGCCCTCATCTTGTCTGAAAAGAACAGACGTATAATCTGGGGAGAGAAGCCTCAAGATCTACCTGAGGATCCACAGAGATTTTACTCCCTTCCCTGTGTGCTGGGTCATCAAGTCATCACTTCAGGGAGATGCTACTGGGAAGTAGAAGTCGGGGACAGTGGAGCCTGGGACCTGGGAATTTGTAGGCCTCATGTAACGAGGAAGGGGAGGATTTCTATAAAACCAGAGGATGGTTTCTGGGCCATCAGGTTTTATAAGGATGAGTACTGGGCACTCACCTCTCCAGAAACACAACTTACTTTAAAGGAGCACCCTGCCACAGTATGTATTTTCCTAGAATATGAGGAGGGGCGTATCTCATTTTATAATATGACAGATAAATCCCACATTCACACCTTGTCTCAAGGATCCTTTGATGGGCCCTTAAGGCCATTTTTCAGACTTTGGTCCAGCGATTCAGGGCATTTGACCATCTGTCCAGTGTCTGAAGCAGCACAGGTGCCCCTGTGCTAGGAGCACCATTTAAGCTGCGGGTCAGTGTGTATTGATGCATGGACCATGACATGAATTCTCCTATACCAGAAGCAAGTTACTTTTTCTTATTCATTTTTATGCTTCTCCCTATTATTTTATCTCCTTCATAAACAGCTCCCCCAAAGCATGGTGCAGGGTGAAAAACTGTGTGTTGCATGTGGTATGTGTAATGAAATATATATACATAGACATATATGTATAGACATACTCTCATTTAATGTAATCATATTATCATTATAAATATACACAAGGAACTAGTGCATGTGATCACCCATACAGTGTTATAATTTCTTTAATATTACAAACTTAAAGTGACAAAGATAGGAGTAAGGGAAGAATAACTTTTTGTTTTATACTCTTTTTTACCTTTGGGTTTTGTACTACATTTACAAAGTGATATGCAGAAAGATAAAATTAAAAGTTTCAAATAAAAAATAATTCAATTGTTCTCAGTCTTCTAACTTAGTGACATTCAGAGGGGAAAAGAGGGCACTTAGAATGACAATCTCCACGTCCATCCATGTTGCTGCAATTGGTATTATTTTATTGTCATTCTAAGTGAAGTAATCCAGAAAGAGAAAGAAAAATGCCATACAACATCATTTATATGTGGAATGTAAAAAATGATAAAAGACACAAATGAACCCATTTACGAAACAGAAACAAAATCACAGATTTAGAAAACAAACTTATAGTTACCCAGGGGAATACAGTGGGAAGGGATAAATTGGGAGATTGAGATTTGCAGATACTAACTACTGTAGATAAAGTGGATAAACAATTAAGTTTATACTGTATAGCACAGGGAACTATATTCAATATCTTGTAGTAACCTATAATGAAAAAGAATATGAAAATGAATATAGGTACATATATGTATGACTGAACTATTATGTTGTATACCAGGGATTGACACAACATTGTAAATTGGCTATACTTCAATAAAAAAATAAAATAAAATAAAATAAAATAGTGGCAAAAATATTAAAAGTCTATTAAAATACTAAAAAGTAAAAAGAAAAAGAAAATATTGTATCTTTCAAAATTCATTTTTCTAAATATTCATGATCAGAAAATGTTGAACATGTGCAATATCATATGAGTGGATGATTTGGCATTCTCTGATGATAAGCTTACAGGCCACAGGACAAAATTTGAGGAGCAAATGGTCATGTTTGCATATGCTGAATTTGAAGTACAAGCAAGATGACCAAAAGAAGATGTTCTAGAAGTTGTTAAATATATGTCAGGAGCTCAGAATGAACGCTTAACATACATAGTTGGAGTATAGGGAAGAGGTTAAGGGCTAGGATGAAGAGAAAGACCCTGTGATTGGCCTATGGGGACCCATAGAAACAAAAAAGAGTGCTAGTTCATGGTAATCAAACAAGACTTCA